AATGAATGAAACAGGCAGACTTGTGGCTGTCTGACATTCATAAAATATGCCAGCGTAATTTAAAAATTAAATTCTACTGCACTTCTAATTGTTCTTTCATTGCGATATTTGCTTACCATGTAGCACATTTAAACTAGATGCTATTACGTGAAAGGAAAATAAATACTCACTTAATTGTGTTTTGATGAGCAGCTCATGTGCTATTGGCGTCTACCAATTTGCAGAAGTGGGTTAAATGTTTTAAAACTAATCAATTCTGAACAGTGATTCTTGTATGTTGAGGGGCAATCTACTGTGTACTTCTTATATAATATAATATAATATAATATAATATAATATAATATAATATAATATAATATAATATAATATAATATAATATAATATAATATATAATATAATATAATATAATATAATATAATATATTTAGTCTGGGCTCCTCATCATTATAGACTTTTTTGAAATTGCTGTTCGTGACTTGGTGACCAGGTATTACAAAACAAATCTACAATAGGCAGCCTGCTTTTGAAATCCAAATGAATCTTGCATATCTGTTAACTGCATCGGGTAGCATGATCCTATAGAGATTGTTTAATTTATTATTGAGATGATCACGTACAGATTCTCATCCTACTGTGGATGAAAGAAACCCACGGCAACACACGAACATGCCATTATATAAACATATATGGCGACGTCAATAGTAGATAAAGCCTGCGGTGTGCCAAGGTTAACCACATGTTGTGTTTGTCAATCTGACGGGGCTGATCACTGCTGTTATTTTGGTATTCTTTCCTGCTATTAGCTCGCTAACTGTGCTTCAATTGAACGATGTTTTATTGTCCGTTCGTATAAAATGATTATTTGTTGTGTTACCCGCTTCCAACAAATTCGTATACTTTATTTTCATTTTTTACCTGAAATTTTGTTATATTTGGTATTTTATTCAGTAGATAAGATGCATCACCCAGAGATAATCCTGTGAAAATTATTTTTCCCCCTGACTTACCACATACCGGTATGTGTTAGTTCTCATGCATAAATTCCTAAAGGTCACACATCCTGGTACTTTGGGGGTGAAATATATTTGTTATGTCTCTTATGAAATGCTTAATTTAGATGATTCGGGGAAAACACGTCTCTGTGCTGAAGCATGAACCTAGGGGGACACACAAGTGTTGCACATAACCTATAGGAGTAATGAAAACAATCTATAGTTTATGTACATGTTCATTTTCATTAGCCTAGAGGGCTTAACTGTATAATACCTACCTGTTGACTGCTTAGCGTAATAGAGATGAACAATATGATAGAAATATCTTCCAGATTGAATTATTGTACAATTTGTGTTTTACAAATGCGAGCAAATCTGCAAATTTGATTCTGATTTCCGTCTAGACATTGCTGCTCTCTTATAGAAATTAAAACTTGTCATTATTTATCAAGAATTATCACTCTATAAAGCTGCCAGATAGAAAAAACTGAATAGCATGACCATCATGCACTTGAAAGAAATGAAATCTGCTTTTCTACTTTTCATTATCTGGATTATATTAATGCAAAAAATCATGAAGAATGATGTTTTTTAAAGACTGGCCTTAGGGCAGCATTTGGTTTTCTGGGAAAGATGCACGTGATCTTTGAAGATGTCTACAAAATAGTAACCGCCATCATGGCATTCAGATAACAGATTGAAATCTCTCTGAGGTGGGGGAAAAGAGGACATCGCCACGGTAATACCGTGCGTATCAGCTTACAGATGCTTTTATGTTAGATGGAAGTTCAAAGGTCTTGCATCCTAGAATCGACATCAGAGATTGCTGTTGCCGACAATTTGCCGCTAACAATGAACATTGAGTGCTAACTGAAATTCTATACTTCGCTTGTCAAGACTTATCCTGCAGGTTTTTGAGTTTTCCATAGCACATCTTTTAATCTGTCGTCACGTGTACATATCTAACATACAGAATCTCAGAAGGACTAAACAGGGTGTTTTAAAATTTTAAAATTGCATTTGTATTAATAAATGACTTTACTTTGTAAGCGTAATTCAAAATCTTATTCCAACATACTAACAATAAAAACATTTTCATACGCTGCAGAATTTTCGATTTTCTGACTTTTCTGTTCATGTATTAAAATATTAAAAGGACTAGAAACTTGTATATTAATACTTTACTACTTAAAGTTTAATATGGAAAAGGAAAGTGTCAAATTTTCTTGTGTGTGCTTCTCAAAATTAATAGTAATCTCAACCGCAGTATCATAATACCTGTTATGTTGTTGAGTATATCAAAATAATATTGATTGCAAAAATCTTGTGTTGCTTGAATAAAATTGCATTACGTTGTGTAATACCAATTAGACTGTGCCGTGTACATGGTGAGCAATTGTCACCACC